TAGAGTGGCCTTCACATTTGATTTTAGAGCACTTGGTTGTCTCTAAAATAGTAGGGGTGGTGGCACTAGTGAACCAGGAGATGTCTTGCCTGGCAGGTCAGTATTGCAGCAAACATGGTCTATAGCTGAGTGAGTTCACTTTCCCAGAAACTTGAATAGCACGTACTAGCACTGTGGCTAGTAGGCAGAGGGAGGGGTGGAGTGGGGGAGTCCCGCTCAGTTCCATTTTGATTTCTGTGTTTTATAACCAGAGCATGTAGTATATTCAAGATGTGTTTTTTTTTTTTTTCAACATATTCTGGTAGGGACCAAGAGCAATGATGATAGGTTGTTTTGGAGCCCCTGAGACTTTTCTGGTCAACAACTCCTAGGGAGGTATCCCACATCTAATAAAGGTTTTGCTTAAAAGCCTACAGCTTCATAGAATAGAATTAGTCATCCATAAAGGAAAAGTATGTCCATTCCAAACTTTTTAAAAACTTGGTTCTTAATTGTATAAGGCAAGGCCATAAGGCTTTTACATGCTTTTACATGTACTTTTACCTTTTGGTAGCCCTCCAAACCCCACCATTTCCCCAATCCTACATAAGTGTTTTCATGCCGATGCAACAATATTTTGCTAATTATTATCATTTTATATTTGTTAATTCCCCGACTTAGTGCTTTCCCTCCCAGTGTTCCTTTTTTGCTTCCTAGTAGATATTTATATTTTTATCTATAACTAGTTCGACTTTCAGTATGGGCCAGATATATGGATTTCTGAGGAGGGTGGCAATTAATTAGAAACTCATATTTGTTCAAAATGATGAGAATCAATGACAAATGGGTGCTCAGTCTTAAACAACATAATAGACACACACACATACAAACACACACATACACACAAATGCACGCACACATGCACACACCTGAAGATGCAGAGATCATTGCAGAAGAGAGGTCAAAAAGAAGTTAATGGACAGAGGATGGGTAAGTGGGTCATGTATTGCTGTCATCCAGATCTGACCTTGTTCTTGCAAGCCTGAGCAATAGCTATGGACACCTGCATGAGACTGGGCTCTCGCGATTTCCACCACGGATATAGGAAATCCTCATGAGTTTTAGTTCCTGCCTGAAGAGTGAACGACTGTTAACATCTGCTACAGGAGCATGTATCATTTTCTCTAATGGTGTAGCCACTAGGTGACTAAATGGAAAGAAGACGGTAATTGGAGGAAAAGGAAGGGGAATCATGAGCTAAAGGCGAGTATGAAAACAAAAACAATAAATAATTTATGTCTATAAAACAATTAGAATTTTAAAAAATGTATTTATGTGTCTCCCATTTAAAACACACATACATTTGTACATATAACATACATATAATATGTAATAGAATTTCTGAGGGGTTGATAAATGGCTCTAGAGAATGTCTAAAAGATTCTCAATGAAAGCATTAAAAACAGTAACGTGGAAAAGTGTTCTTTGAGGAAGAATAAGCAAGGCATTTTCAGGAAATGTGGTAACCAGAAAGAGATAAAGTACAGAATCCTTTCCTGCACATATGAGGAACACCGAGCTTAAACTAGATGGTGAAGTCAGGACAGCTCCCTGGGAAAGGTCACACTGAGGCAGAGGTTCAAGAGGAAGTCAACAGGAGCAGGCTACTGGGTGAGAAGTGTGTGTCAGAGTCAGAGCAGGAGAAGAGCTCGTGACACATTTACGGTGATCACTTACAAACTCTCACTGGGAAAAATCTCCATAAACTCCTAAATTGACCACCTTGGCTAATCCACCTAATGATTTCGAGAATCATACAGGCCATAGAGGAAATATGGATAACAGAAAGTTCAATTTATGTCACGTTTGTATTGAAATTCCTTTTTTTGTACATAATCTCTCTCTTCCCACAGCCTTGCCACAGTGGAAGTAAAGTCCTGGCACTTTATACAAGAAGGTCCTACTGTGCTCAGTTTTGTCTCCCTCTGATGGTTCCACAGCTGCAGAAGCACGACCCAGCTCTTTGGAAGAAGCATGCTCAATTCAGAATGACTCTGCTCTCTGGAAGAAGCATGCTCAATTCAGCAGCCTGGAGAGCAGTCCTCATGGGCATTCTCCACTCCCTACCTTTATGTGTTCACACACATCATCTCCTCAGGGTGACAGGCAAGGGCTTGCACAACTACGCTCTAAGATATTAACCTGAGAAAGTCCAAGTGTTCCATCCAGTCCACAGCCGGGATCCCCAGGGAAGCTATGAGGGCTGTACACAAAGTACCTCTCCCGTGTAATCGCACATATCTCGTGCCTGATCCGAGTCAGGTTGTCCTCTCACCAGTTAGGACAAGAATTGGGCAGGACAGACTAGGTCAAGATACAGCAAATGAACCTAAAGACGGTTGCAGGTTCAAAGATACCTAGTAGATGGGGGATAAGGACAGCAAAAAGCATGTGTGCAGGGACTTGAATGTTAAGGAGCCAAATGCAGGAGATTATTCCAATTCTTCCTTCCTAGGTATTCTGAAACAAGGTTTGCGGTGATGGCTATACTAGTTATCGCAACCTGATCATGTACGTATCAAAAACTCTACATCATAAATAAGTATATTTCTCAGTTACTGCTGATGGTGGTTGAAGCCAGAACCTCACATATGCTAAGCACATGCTCTTTAACTTAGTACATCCCATATAGTACATACATTGTTATGCACATTAGACTCAAAATAAGAGCTAAGTAGACTGCTGAGTGGAGGAGAGAACCAGCTTCCCCAAATTATCCCCAGACCTCCACTGTAGCATATATATATATATATATATATATACATACATACATATATATATGGACATACAACACACTATATATTATATAATATTTAATATATGATATATATAAATAAAATTGGGCTGAGTGTTCATTTAGATGACTATACTGTTCTGAACGTATAACAGTTTCTACCACCAGTGGTTTAACAGCATGTCCTTCTCTGCTCAAAACACTACCTAGCATCCTCCTTCAATCCAGCAAGGAAAGGGCTCTCGTGGCTCAGTGCTTGCTCTTTGCCATTAAGCTCCTCTTCACAGAGGCTGCTTTAGTTCTGCTTTGGTTTGGCTGGTGTCCATGACATGCTATTTGCTAACTTTTTCTAATAGTTGGCCTATACTCTTTCTTTTTTTTTTTTTTTTTTAAAAAAAACTTGTCCTACAAGTTTTAGGGAAAAATCTAGATACCTGCAACTCTATTCTGCTTTCTGGTCTATGAATAGAAGTTATGTCTGCTAAGAAGCAGCAGCAAAGTGATTGCTGAACACCTGAGGATCAGATTTCTTGAGTTGGAATCCTTTCTCTGCACTTGGCTCTAGGACCCCAGACAACGTGACTGAACCTGCTCTGTCTCCACTTCCAGTAACACAAGAACAATGGCACCGAAAGATTCGGTAAGGATTTAAGGACAGTGCGTGTAAAAGCACTTAAAAGCATTTTTGTATTTTAGAAGTTATGGTAATGGTTTTAATTGAAATGTGAATTTCTGCTAAGATATTTCTATCATCCCAAGCAAAAGCATTCCATTTCCTTGCTGTAGGCCAGTTTTCCCCTTGTGTCTAGTGGTTAAAGTCCCAAGAACAAAACAGGTTAGAAAAAAGTGACGCAATCATCACAAAAGGTCTACTGTTTTCAGCTTCCTGAGATGCTCTTTTCAACTTCTGAACAACTATTAAGGCATTATTTCTACAAATATCTAATTAGCTATAATATTCCAATGTACTTTTATATACATGTTTTACATACTCTATTAGGTTCTATTCATCTAGGAAAGTGCTGGGCCACAGAAAAAGCTTTTGAGATGTATATTTCAATTTAGCACTTACTTAAGGAAAAATAAAATTGATTTATAGAATATATTATTTAACCTGATCAAACCAAAATATTACGAATATGCCATTTCATCATTATAAACAGGTTATGATTCATTCAAATCTCTTTATTGGATCTATCTGACAGTGGATGTCCCATTTGAGATTAGCCATATATTGCGCCATGTTTGAGGATAGCCACTTGGGCAGTAGCTACCATTCCTGAGAACACAGCTTCTGACTACATTTTCTATCTATAGCTCTGTATTAATGATAACATGTAGAAGAGCATGTCTCTTTCAGAAGTACAATTAATATTCATTAATTAAGATCAGCACAAAGACTGATTGTGATGTTTACACCTGTAATCCTAGCACTTGGGATCTAAGCAAGGGGATTTGGGGTTCAAGGTCATCCTCGGCTATGTAGTGAGTTTACGTATAGTCTGAGCTATATGACACCTAAAAATGCACAAAATCTGTATATGAAAAACATGTTCTCTGATTCAAAACACAGACGGTAAGAATAGAATAAAATACTCTAGCTTTCTTTAAATGTAAGAAATGTCTTTGCAAGACAGTAATAACATGATTTTTCAGCATTATTTCCATTAAGAATATAGTTAGTTATACTTACTTATAGAAAGAAATTACTTAAACAATAATAAAATGTTTATATATTTTTATGTGTTTGACTTTTCTGGGAGATAGTTTAACCTGACTTTCTGGCAGGAGGCAGATTATTAGCTAATAAAAATTTGTAAACGGGCTGGAGTTATTTAGTCTTAGTGAAGTTATTTTGATGTTAGTCCCGTGTTCAGAATGGTCTGTCCTTCAAGTATGCTCTGAAATGCACTCAGTGTTTTCACAAATGATGTCTCAGTTTTTTAGATGTAGTTACAGAAGATGAATGACATTGTTTCCATGGTCATTGACAACCTGTTGTGAAGAACCAATCGACTTCCATTGCTCTAGTGAGAAAAACTAACATCAGCAACAGCAGAAACCTGATACATATTCCATCACTCTAGAATTGGCCCTGCCTACTCCTTTATCAAATTTGTTATTATATGTTTTAACCTTCTGTAGCCATTTGCTTGCAGAACTGATTGCAATAGGGAATTACAAAAGAAGCAACAAAAGTTGTTTCATAGGAAGATCAGTAACTTACCTTGGGCAATTTCAATGGTAATTTGCAAACTGGCAACTGGTAAAGATTTTCATGAAGGGATTGATCCAAGCTAGGGACAGTCTTCTCTCTGGGTAACTTATAAACCACAATGGCACCTTTATAATGAGGGCAGCTATAGTTCCCAAATTCATCCACCTCTTTGATGTGGAGTTCTAGCCTCGGTTTTCGTTGCAGGTGGAAAATGATTTTGTGGTCTTTCCCATAATCCTTCCCATTGCCTAAAAAGAGATGCATTTGTCACCAATAAGATAATCCTCTTGCTTTCGTTTTTGAAATTCCAAGTGACTTTTCCTTTACCAAATCTAGTCACAGTGCTTGCCTATGCCATCCCTTGTGGACATATAACCTAAGAACAATTGGCGGAGTTATTTAGATCATTAGGAAGATTTCTCACCTGTGATTGGACCACATATTCCCTTGAAGCTCCTACGTGGAATCATTTTTGCTTTTCTTTTGCCTGTCTATGATTTTCCACCAAGAGACTTTTGGAGAAATATTCACATTTTCCAGTATTTAGAAAGTTGTCCTCACTTTCCAAGAATTATCTCCCCTCCCCTGTGCTGTCCTTATCACACTGTGCACTGCCATGACCTCACACTGCATTCTCCTGGGACATGTGGCTACTTAAGTGTAAATTAAAATTAAATTAAAGACCATTAAAAATTCAACTCTTTGACTTCCTAGTTGGTTCAACTTATGAAGTTGTGCTTGCCACAATGGGTGATTTCCTGACTTCAATCCACAGATCCCATGTGATGGAAAGAGAGAACAAATCCCTACAAATGTCCTATGATCTACACACACACACACACACACACACACACACACACAATGTTTAAAAACTTACAGGAGGAGGGGTGTGTTTCTTAAGAAGGATTCACATTACCATTTTTTTATGATAAATTGTTTGGGGTGATTAAAATGTGACCTAAATTGTAAATTAAAGTTTTCAGATCCCTTGAGTAATGCCAGGTTAGGTCTGTGTTTCCCACCCCAAGAATTATCAAAAGAAACAACACTACTCCGGTCCTAGTAAACTATGACTTAGTAAATTTCTTTGTTGTTGCTGCTGCTGTTTTATCTCTTCTTTCCCTGTGAGATTTACAATTACTTATAAGTGATGACTAATATGCAGGATACATACAATGTAGATAACCCTAAATTGGTTAAATTCAGATCTAGACTCTGAAACCCTATCATTGCCAGTCAACACCTTATAAAAGTTAGTAGTATCTATAAAGGCACTCTAAAAGTCACATCTATAAATTAAATAGTGATACAACTATTGATGATTTACCAGTAAAAAATGTTTCGCCTTATGAACAACTTGTTATGTAATTTTGTAAAAAATTTGGGCTTGTGTCATTAAAAGAGAACTCAATACTCTGAGGGCCATCAGTCTCTAATAAAAAGGAACAAAAGGTTAAAAAACATAAAAGGAATAACAGTATTTTTCATCTTCCTCTAACACTTATAAAGAAGTAAAAATGAAAGTGACATTTCAAACTCACAAAGGACAGTTTTGACTGGTTGACCTTTGGAGAGTGTTTTCCCTTCTCACCATAGAACACACATAGTCCTTAGTAGACAATTGAGACAATCACTATTGCAGAAATACTTGCCATGTTAAAAAATTATTTATCTTTTGCGAATAACTGGAGTTTTCTTACAGCAATACATAATTGTTCTCAGAAGCGATGGTTACATGTCTTTTTTTTTAACGTCACAGGCAGTACACACACGTGAAGAAGTGCTTTCCCTAGAAAAGTCAGATGAGGAAGCGAAAGTGCTAGCTATACCAGGAAACTAAGTATCCTGAAGCAGTGTCTCTGGGTGTTTTTTTTTTTTTTTTTGATTCTTACCCACTACCCACAACTTCTACTCGAAGGTCTGCCATGGTCTTACAAAAATGGCTCAATTACAGTAATGACTCATTTAACTGGTCTCTTCAACGCTCACAGTGAAGCTAATTCTTAACAGAGCTGTGGTCTAGCTTGTCATGTCACCCCTCTGTGGAGCACTCATCACAACTGGTACAATCTTTGCAGTGGTCCTAGGGATGGTCATTGTTCATCTCCTGGTACGGTTCCTCACGCCTTCTGATCCTAGGTGCTGGGGGTTGCATGGTGCCCCTAACCACACTGCCTCCTTCCAATGGGGGTCTTTATAGAGAAGCTCGCATTAAGTGAGTAAATAGAAAGTGGCCTCTGTGGCAGGGGACACAAAAGAAAAGGTGAACATCTGTGAAAATAAAATAAGCAGAAATGATGTGATGAGAATAAATAAGGAAGACTTCCTCGAACATGACCACTGAGAAGATGAAATGGGAGTCATTAGTAGGAGAGAAGGTACCAGGGAGGAGATGAGGGCCCAGCAGGCAGAGGACACCTGTGGTTATCTCTTTCAGCTTCCTGGATTCTGATGAAGATAGGGATCAGCTCTTTGTGGAGAGTCCTAGATCCAGAAATTTCTAATGAGGATCCCAATATGAACAAGAATCTCCTGGAAACGGACAATAGAAAGAATATGGATATCTTGCCTGCCTCAATTTCTTTGAATGACAATTAGATCATATCCATCCCTCATAGACAAGGTGGCATACATGCTGCCAGTCTTTCGGTGTCTTAATTTAGCATGGGACCCTTGTCAGTGAAGACAACAAGTTCCCTGCCTGGGAAGACAGCAGCACAGTCCTGTTTAGCTGCCTCTTAGGTTACAGAAAAATCATTTGTACCATTAGTTAGTGTGGAGTACTTCTGAGCTCTGACTATCTCTCTTTAGAGAGTTTCCTTGGGTTTGCAGTGTGGTTTCTGCTTTAGAAGTTAAGTACGAAGGTGTCATTCACATCCTGCCTTTCTCCCCTCCTCCAACGACGGAGCTGCTGTACGTGAGAATCTAAGAGACAGTGTAGACATGGAGATAGTGTGTAATAATGAGTCTCACTTATCCTTGTGAGGGCCAGGACTGGCTTCAAACCGCATTTTCTTTGTGAGCTGCATACAACTACCACATAAGGTTTGGGGGCCCTTTTCTGATTGAGAGCTAGTAGGCATCATGGATTCAATGTTATGCATATTGATTTATAAATATACAACTATTACATCAAGTCAAGGGTGTAACAAGCTTCCTGATTGAGAAATCTCCACAAAATTGGAAATTGAGTAGCTGATGAAAACAAACGCCCAGATGGCAAATCCTCTGAAGACCTTTCATTCTGTGCCTTTAGCGATCACTTTACTTTTCTTCTCTTTTCTTCTCTCACTTCCCCTTTCTCTGCCTTGTATCTTCTTCACCTCGCTAAGCACTCACTTCTCCCTCCCCTCCAGTCCTTCCCATGGCTACCACTTCATTCTTTTCCCTCAGCACTGTCATAGCTTGTACGTTCTCTACAGTCAATGAAAGATGGTGTTGTGAGGCTTAGAGGACATCAGACGAGGAAGTCCCCTGAACGTCCATTCCAGTGAAGAGTATCTCCTGAGAATATGAACAAACCCTAAACCTGGGAATCAATAATTTCTAATTTGAATGAGGTTTATAAGAGAAATAAAATTAACACCGGGTAAATGTGGGAATGAGAAACCTGAGGAGTGTGTCACCCTCGTTCAATATTCCTAAGCATCTTTTGTACCTCAGACCACTTTCCAAATGCAGAACACACTTCTGAGAATATAATTTAAAATAAGCAACATAAAACGTATTTTTATGTTTCATTTATGGGTCTATTGACTCATGCTAGATTCTTGAAGGATACATTAAAGACTATGTAGATAACTGTAGGTGCAATGGAAGCCCATACAGTTCAGAAGAGTAACAGACAGATGCTCCTGGACTTGTGACGCTGTCGCTTTCTTACAAACGTAACAAATTGAAAATATCATGTCAAAACCGCATTTAATATACTTCAAATACTTAATGCCATGGCTTAGCAGCCCAATATATGACAGAATATTAGTTCTTTCTCCTTGAGACTGGGTGGCCTACTAAGACCTGTGACGTCACAGACTATATCATTCCTGAAACCACTAAACTAGAGAAAGATCAAAACCAGAATGTGTTATTTCTACTTGGATGTCTATTGCTATTGCTTGTCATAAAGCCAACTTTTCTATGTCAAATCATCATAAGTGAGGTTACATGACATGCTTCTCAACAGATTATTATTACTGTGTGTAAACAGTCACATTACCGAGTGGAAGCAGGGAGCATTTAGAAAAGAAGCTGTCATGGGGAAGAGGTGAGGCAAGCCTAAATTCATGGGGGCAATCACAAAGAAGACTGTTTCTAAAAGAATGTCACTTACAATCCGTCAGTAAAGACACATGTGCCCCTGTGAAGAAAAAGAATAGAGCCTAGATAGACTAGTCTCTAAATGTTTCCCAAATTCTCTAAAAGGAAGTCTTTCTTAGTAATACAAGTTTAGAGTATTGCCACCAAGGCTTGTGCTTTATAGTCTTTAGAATGCATAAGACCATTTCCTCATACTTACTTGAGCCAAATATGTTTCCAGTAAACCTTAAAAGAAGTTGTTCTCCTTCTCTTACTTGGAAATGTCTAGATGATTCTGGAAGTCCTCCAAACCCTTCCGAGCGCAAGTTCTTCAGTGCCAGATTTAACTCCTTAGAAGGTACCACTAAAATAACCACTCTATATGGATTGTCCTTCTGGTGGGACAGCAGAATGCAGGCCGTGGTGCTGAGGGAGGCTTCCTCTAAAGACTTCACAAAAGAAACCAAGTGGCTATTATCCACTGTGGAAGACAGGTGGAGCACAATAAACCTGTGCGAAGGGAAAGAGGCAAGACTCAAGGGGAATAAGAAGCATTGAAATACCACAGACTCAATAAAAAACTTACTTTTCTTAACTTAAAGCAAGAATTCTGATGATCTAATACCTATATTAACGGGGGACTTCAGTGAAATCCCAGACAGTCAAGAAACTAGTTCAGATCAGCTAAGTTCTTTGTTGTTTTTGTCTGTTTGTGTTTTATGCATGTTGTTTGTGTGGGTGTGTACATCTGTGTGGGCACATGGATGTGCATTCATGTGGAGGTCAGAGATCACTGTTAGATATTAGTCATCTCTCCATCCCTTTCCACCTTATTATTTGAGATATAATGTCTCATAGAGTGTCTTGGTGAACCTAAGAGAGTTCATCAGGTCCCCTAACCTTGCTGGCCAATGAGTTCCAAAGATCTGCCTGTCTCCGCTCTCCTCAATCCTGGAGTTGCAGATGTGAGCTGTCATGCTAAGGTGTTTGAATGCCGGGGAACTGAACTGAGGTCCTCTTGCTTGCATGGCAGTAACCCTACTGAGTGAGACCTCTCCCTAGGTCTCAAGCTAAATTAAAAAACATGGTCTTGACTATTGTTGAGTGGTTTGTTCCTGCACTGTAGCCCAGCTAGCCATGAACTCACAACTGTCCTTCCTCAGGCTGATGAGATTACAAGTCAACATTACCTACCCCTTCTAAAACATAGCCTTAAAGTAATAATCCTGTATCAGCTGGGTTCTAAAAGTGGTCCCTTGTTTTCATTATAGAGTCATGCATCCCATATCATCTCAATTAATGACTGGCTGCATATATAAATATAAATATAAGGGAGCTGAGAAACTTTACTGATGGAGGAAGGTCATTGGCTAATAAAGAAACTGGCTTGGCCCATTTTATTGGTTAGAACATAGGTGGGTGGAGTAAACAGAAGAGAATTCTGGGAGGAAGAGGAAGTGAGGTCAGACCCGACAGCTCTGCTCTCTGGAGCAGAGACGCCATGCTCAGCTCTCCCGGGTAGACTCAACAGCTCTGCTCTCTGGAGCAGAGACACCAGGCTCCGCTCTCCCAGGCAGCTCTGACCCAGGAAGGACGTAGGCTAGAATCTTCCCGGTAAGTGCACCTTGGGGTGCTTACACACATCATTAGAAATGGGCTAGTCCAGGTGCGAGAATTAGCCTGTAAGGGCTAGAGTTCATGGGCCAACCAGTGTTTAAATGAATACAGTTTGTGTGTTGTTATTTCGGGCATGAGCTAGCAGGCGGCCGGGGTGCTGGGGACACAGCCCCACCGCTCCTATTTCAACACTTTACTGCTTAGTATGTTGCAGTCTTAACACCACAGTACAAGCATATTACCCATATCTCTATGGTGATGGTGGTATGAAAAAACTATTGCCCTGCCAAGTGTATGACATTTCAGCAATATAGTTATATGCAGTACCTGATACTGGATGATAACAATAAGCAACTATATCACTTCATTTTGAATTTAATATATTTTCTTATTAGTTTAGATTGTACTCCTATCTACATAAGGTTTGCCATCCACAAGAGGCTCAGAAAAAGGCATTGCTATCATAAGAGATAGCAGTTCCAGCTGTGTTGTTGCCCCAGAAGACCTTTTAGTGGACAAAGTCAAAAGGTAAATGGCAGTATTGGGGTGACTCTGATGCTATGTAGTCCTAGAATAATGTCAATTTGTGTCTTAAGCTTTAACAACAAAATTAAATTAAGTAAATCTATATGGATTGGTTTATATCAGTAATTCCAGCAGTAAGGAGGTAGAGGCAGGAGAATTTCTATGAATGTGTAAATAGAAAGTTCCAGAGTGTACAGGGCAAGCTAGCAAGATCCTGTATCAAACAATACAAAATAAATAAATGAATACCAATTTAAAATGAAAATGGGCAGAGAATGAAGAGGGTAGATGAAGGCATATAGAGATTTCTCAGGGGTTAAGATCACATTCTGTGCTAGCATAGGACACAAGATAGATTCCTAGCACCGATGTCCGGATGCTCAAAACCACCAGTACTCTCAGCCTCAAAAAAATCACACACAATCTTCTGGACTTCATAGATCCCTAAACTCTTAAAAAAAAATAAAAGAAAACAATGTAAGGAAAACAGTTTTATATAGCCAAACAGTATCTTTCTGTGTTAAGCTAATTGATAGTATAAACAATCCAAAATTCTAACATTTGAAATATATGAAATAATAAAATTAAAAATATTGTAAGCAATATTGTTGATGATTGAAGAAAAATATAATACATTTAGTCTCGCCAATGTCGCAGTGTTTATAAATCATGCACAGTGTTGACTAGCTTCCTGGGTTACGATCCAGTGTTCACTGATATTCCCAGAACCATGCTCTGTCCTGCAAGCTCCATTCAGGGCAAATGCACTATATAGGTACACTTTTAAAAACATCTTTTATCCTATATTTTTACTATGCTGAAAGTCGTTTGACAAACCAGCTATTTTACATTTAAATCAGCTGCAACCTTACATGCTTATATTTATTACAGACTAGGCCACTCAGGTTTGTGTGAGTATGCTGTATTCTTTATAAGAATGTGCAGTTGGCAAGGTTTGAAATTTTCATTATTCAATAATTAAACAGGGTAAAACACTTACACTCTGTTGCAGAGTATCAAAGTGATACTTCAAAACACGGAAGCAAACTATGGTCAAAAAAAAATCTATTTCTGTAACACGTGTAGGTGGGGATGAAATTCTAATCTCCAATCCTGTGGTGTGAGAATTTTTGTGACGGGTCATCTTTTGAGATTAATTTTTGTCCCACCCTAAATCTTATCCTCAAATACTAGTGTTCATGTAACATTTTATGTCACTACAGAAGTATATAAATTAAGGTAAACTCACGAGGATGACCCCAACTCAGTATTATTACTGTGCTTCAGGGAGGAGTTTTTAACATAAAAGAAGCATGCAGAAAACACTGTGTGAGGAGGAAGAGGGCCATTTATAAGCCAAGGACAGGCCTCCTGTAGATTCTTCTCTTGGAGTTCTCAAAGGGAGCAAACCCTATAAAGATTCTGATTTGGAGACACTGAGCATCTAGAACTGTAAGATAATAGATTTGTGACATTTTGCTACAGCACTGTTGGGAAGCTGATATAGACTTGGATCCCAGAATGGGACAAGTTAACCGTTGTTTGTTCTCCAGAGAACAGAAGCCCTCTTCCAGAGCAGCCTTCACTCACAGACAAGGACTGTGAGGTGTAACTTTCAAAGCCAACCACTGTGGTATTCCAGAGCTCCCCTGAAGCACCAGACTGGAGGAAATCCAACCCAAACCAGCTTTCCCATCATCCTCCGTGGTTTCCTCTTCTTCTTTCATTCCCTCATATGGTCTTCCAGAGAGGCTTTCCTCAACCAGTCACTTGCCCTCTCATCTCACACCGGGTTTCTGCAGAATTTAGCCTGGGATAATCATAGAGGTAAGGTCGTGATTACGAAACAAAACCTATCTTTAGGCATGTATGTGATTGCCTTTCCTCATGAGTGTTTACTCCTCATGTACCTTAAAACCGTCTAAAACGCTCCTTTAATGGGCCGTCTAGAAAACATGGAAATGAGAAAGCTAAATGAAGGAACTGCAATAACAAATTCAGGTTATATCTACATAGTTATGAGATGAGCATAATACGAACAGTTAATTACTATCCTGTGGAATTTGAGAAATGAAGGTGCTGTTTTGAAACTATTTTGGTGTTAAGAGAAACCTGTAAAAATAAACCTATGCTGCAATTCGTTTCGAAAGTCCTAGTTAAACTATCAGGAGCAAAATCGCAGTGGATCCATGTCAATTGTGGTTTGCCTTTTAAGTGCACTCCAAAAGACAGCTTGTATTTCTATCTGAGTAATAAAAATATAATCCTTGGATTCCGTTCCTACCCATTAATTACGGGCTGGAGTAGAGTGTCATCGCCTCTGAATGTTTCCTATGGTCTTACCTCTCTAAGTGTTCACATAATTCAAAAGACACCAAGCCATTCTGGACAGTTCTCACCACAACGTCATCAATCCCAAACCAACCACTGTCTCTGCTTCTGAATCCTAATAGTTTCAAGTTTTCACAAGCATTGTTACCAGGTTTTCTGAGGGAGGCACTCTTGGTCCTAGAAAATGATAACAAAAATGGGTAAAAGTTTACATAGCACAAATCACACTTAAAACATCTACTTTTCATGAAGTGACTAAGACAGTAATAACCCATCATGAGTATGCTATGTATTACTAATTACTTCTGACTTCAAGAATAGAAAGATGGGATGGTTAGAGCTGTTGCTTACCGAAGTATCCATATATTATCATAGTATTACCTCTTTACAGCATGGACCATCGGGGTGGTACAAAGAAGGTAGAACGAGTGAGTTAGGAGCAAATATAATATTCAAGGATATTTGCAAAGTAAAATGCTTGTATGAAGAATAGATTTTTAGAATGAAATACATTTTACTAATGGTAGAAAGAGGATTAAAAGGGGACTCTTAGAAACGTAAAAAACCCAGAGATGAAGTGTGGATGCTTTAGAGATACACAAGAATGATTTATAACATGCTGGGTAAAACCATAGACTCCAGCTGGGTGATGGTGGCGCACGCCTTTAATCCCAGCACTCGGGAGGCAGAGGCAGGCAGATCTCTGTGAGTTTGAGACCAGCCTGGTCTACAGAGCTAGTTTCAGGACAGGCTCCAAAGCCACAGAGAAACCCTGTCTCGAAAAAAAAAAAGTGCATACTTCCTGACTCAGGACAGACAATAACTTAAGTCAAGTTGTGAATCTGACATTCATGAGCAATGGCCACTAAAATAGTGGCTAACCCTTTGTTTGAGTGCACAGTGGGGCTGCATGTCTCCATCACAATAGTTGAGTGGGACCACATAACTATTTCCAGTTAACTAATTGGAAATTAAAGAGGTATTTGCCACCTCTAGGCCATCAAGATTACTACTGGTGCATCTATCCAAATCTGTTCTACAGCTAGGAAGGCAGCTAAAAACTGTTTATTTTATGTTTAAGTACAGGTATTATAAGCGAGAAGCAGCCTCCATAGCCATGGAATCAGATAAAAAGACTTGTTATATAAGTATAATGAGATACAAAGGACTGTTGAGAGTTTCATTATCTCTTCATAACATAGGCTGACTTGTACTGTATGTTCCTTCTGGATCCAGTTATGAGTTTCTGAGATATTTGGGATAGGCAGCCATACATATAAATGAGGGAAATTCCTATCTTTCTCTAACTTGAATTATGAAGATGTAGTAGGTATCATCTGCATGAGGTAAAAACACGTCAGGAAATAAAACTGTCTGAAGAAAGAACACAAACGAGATACTATGTTTTATTCCCAGCACACAAAACATAAATAAATAAAGGTACAGCACTTTTTGATTAAAGACTTTGTTTGCTTTTTTGTGATCTAAAAAGAGTCCTTAATAGCCAAGGCTAATAGCATATTCCTGTACTCTTAGTACTGGGGAGGCTGAGGTAGGAGAGCAGAGAATGTGAGGCCAGTAGAGCTGCACAGCAGATACCAGAACAGCTATATAACAAGAGTCTGTCTCAAAAACACAAGAAAAAACAGCCCTGATTTATCAAACAGAATGTGCAGAAATAGACACACAGTATCTTTAAGTCAAATAACCACATGGTATATCCATATCTCCTAAGATTAACAGCTCTCTAACAAGACTATGCCCTTAACCACTGATGCACTATAAGCAAACTTTGAACAATAATGTTGCCTAGCAATGACAGGTACTTGGTCGAGATCAAAGAATGACAACATTCTGATGTTAAGGCATTCTCCAAAATATATGAACAAGGACTGGAGATTTAGTTCCGTTAGCACAACATGGAGAATGATCATGGGAATTCTGACCCCCAGGACCTATGACAATGACAGGTAGGTAGATATGCCCACTCTTTTATAATCCCACTGGTCAGGAGATGGACATAAAGAATCCTTGAAGCAAACTGATTGGACAGGCTAGTTGATTCAGTCTGTTCCACATTCAGTCAACCGTGTTGGTACCATGTCACTCAACAAAGTGAAGAGTAATCGAGGAAGATACCCAACATCAGCTTAGGATCTCCACACGCGTGTCTAGTTGTATACACAATCTTACAGCTGCACTTAGGAAAAAATAAAATAAATAAAATATATACCACTTTCTAAAAATGGTTTATTTAAAAATGTTTATCTCTTCCCCAAACAGAATCAGGCTCTTTGAAGACACTGACTAAAATAAATATGCTACGAATGTCTAAGAAAACATGTACTGCATGCAATTACATCATCAAATTCTCATATCACATTTGAGTTTCAGAATATTCCCTTTGTGGTTTACATAATGTATGAGCCTTTAAATGTGAATGTCATTAACATTTTAGGATCTACTTTTTCTCAGAAAGCTAATTTAATTATTAAAGTCCTGATTTTTACAAAGAACTTCTTTACTCAAAAATTGAAAACAATTCTCGTTTTAAATTATGCATGTTATGATGTAACTGTTTTAAAAAGAAGTGTTTCATGACTATTACTTTTGTTAACTTGACAACAAGATAGAGTTACCCAGGAAAAGAAACCTCAAATGCAAACATGTTTCCCTCAGATTGTCTATAGGCAAGTCTGCAGGGAGTTTTCTTGATTCATGTTTGACAAGCAATAGGGCACTGTGGGTGGTGCCACCCTTGGGCAAGTGGTCCTGGGTTGTATCCAAAAGCAGGCTGGACAAGTTATGGAGAGGAAGAAAGCAGCACTCCTTGATGGGCTCTATTTCAGTTACTGCCCAGTTTTTCTTCAGTGATGATGCACTATGATGTGGAAGTATAAGCCAGATAAACTCTTTTCTCCCCAAGTTGTTTTTGGTTCATCACAGTAATAGGAACACTAAGACAGAAAGTGAATGGACCAGGAATGTGTGCAAGTCATATTGGCTAGGGTGGATGACACACTGGGGAAATTCCGGTGGTCTATTTTCTACATAGTTTTGTATTTAGTTTGCAAATTGGCGAACACTTTCTGGGTCAAATTGTGCACCCTGAGTTTAATATTTGTTTACCAGTATAATCCCTATGGATTTCAATTCAACGATTGATAATGAGAGTTAAGTTTTTTTTTCCTTTTCCTGATTCAACTATTCTATTTAAATGATCAAGACATAAACTTTTGAGGTCTTGCTTAATTGACAATGTTCCTAGTTCCATTTACACTTACCAAGGACTCCATAATCTAATCTACCACATGTCTGTTCATGATAACTGAGGATTCCTCATGATCTGTCAACATTAGAACAACCACCAGCTCATTCCTCTACTCCAAGCATTATTTTTCAACAATATAAAAAACACTCTTCAAGGTTAAGTTCACATATAAGTCAGGTACTATTCTCTGAGACTGTGCTCCCAAGGACACTGCATGCTAAGCACTAACATAAACGTTTATTTTTTCAAAAGTGAAATTATGCACATTGCCAACCTGTCTTAATGATCAGCATGATCTACCCATTCAAATCCCATTCTTTGTGTGTTTTTTCTTCCCAGTAGGCTCCCCAATATCTAACTTAACAAAGAAGAAACATTTCCATAATGCTGTACTTCATGGAAAAAGAACGGTGGTGACTCCAATCAATTTTTATTCAGAAGTCTCTTGTTTCTAACCTGACTATTTATCTACCCATCCCCAAGGCAATGAATACCGCATACCAAGGAGTATACAAATGAGGTAACATTTGTTAAGATTCTTTTGGGTAAAGAAAGAAATAAATACACTTTACCAAACTATAAAATGAAGGAATTAATATTGATGCATGTTCATTAGTGGAGCAAATAGAAAAAGTAGAAAAATTCTATATAGAAGAAAAATCACCTTTACCTATTTTTTCTCTTCTTCTTAACTTTCTTTTTCTATATTACCAGTGAGCAGAGCTTTTGAAGCAACGGAAAATTTGCTTTTTACAATGTTAAAATGTGAACAAACCAAGAAATTGCCGTTGCTGTTTCTTGAGTCCAAAGCTCTTCTCATACCAATGACCATGCATTCAGAGGAAAACCTCAGCTTACTCAGGGTTAAAAGTTTCCTTATTGCAGTGACACTAACATGGAAATCTCCTATTGAGTCGACGTGGACAGAAAGGTAATCCCTAGACACAAGGTTGATTTTGCTCAGACAATCTTCCAAGGAGTTGGATGATAGATGCGCAGCCCAGGGTACATTGTCTCAAGCCTGACAGTCACCTATTACTGCGTGTTCGTCCATTTTCCTTAATTCCTTTAATATCACATAAGAGACATTCAGAAGAGTATCCCTTTATAAAACGTTCTGCTTATAGTCACTTCAATATTTTATTTTTTTGAGTGAAAAGACATACTACTAAAAAGTGTCCAAATGGGGGGGGTTCCCCTTGATTTTCCCAAACAGGCTTTGCAACTCATAGGAATTTACTACTTTTAAATGCAATAGTATTATGACATGTTTGAAAACTTTACAAAACAATAGCTTCAGGTTTGACCAATGGAAAACATTTTATTTATTCCATAGCTGACCAAGCCAATGTTTTATGAACATTGTGTCGTTATTCTAATACGTGGGGCTTTCCTGTATGGATCAGAAAATACTAGCTCCTAAGGATAGAACAGCATGTGTATGTTTCTATCTAAGCATTACCATTTCATTCTGAAGTTGATTTTCTAAATGATTTTTTATTTAATACATATAACACAGAACGGTAAGTAACAAATTGGGAATGGGTAGTCTGAGAGTCTTTCCTCAATAAAGCAAACTGGTTAGATGATAATCAATATGATTTTTAAATATAATATTTTGACTTTCATACGACAAGGGACTCTAAAAAATATTTCCCAAAATTTTCTACAAAAAAATATGTGTAAGTCAGAGTTACAGCAGAAGAAACAATCAGAGTAGAATGAAGGGATTTCCATACAGACAAACACCCTTCCAATAACCAAGACATAGGAGACAGCAGCAGTAAGCAATATTTGAATAAGCAGAATATGAGCTCTTCATCCTTAGTATCACAGGCACACTGGGAAGATGAACTTGAAGGCTTAGCATATCGGCACTTTTGAAAATAGTCCCTTTGAAGTAGGAATTGGATCTCAACAGAGACAGAAATAAATGCCATCTGAGGAAACTGGCTCCATCTCGTGCCAGCAGAAATCCTATGGTACACATCCAGGCATTCAAGTTCCCAAATAAAGATAGAGCCACGACTGACAGTTTACAAAAGAAATGGCCCCAGATAGGAATTCTCAAGACTAAAGTGTAAGCAGCAAGGAACTATTAAGAATCTAGGAAATTTTAATAGGTGACAAACAGAAATAAGAGAAGTTAGAAGAAGATATTATAAATGATAATTCAAATATCATCTTAAGAGTATATTTTACAGGTCAGAATATTTTTAACCATGGGGTGTTTTGAGCTGAAATGGGAAAAATTATATGTCACATTGCCATATCTCTATCTATCTATCTATCTATCTATCTATCTATCTATCTATCTATCTATCTATCTACCTTCAGCTGCTGAAGTTGAGTAACAAAATTGATGTCTATTTCTACGTTCTCTATCATTTGTCTTACAGTAAAGAATGTTTATTTTCTCTTCTTGTCACAAACCAACATAGTGTTGCCCAAGCTTCTGAAGCTGCAAGCATAATAGGAACAAGAATATAAATCTTAACCCAAACAAATGATGGCAAGTCAATGGAGAGGAAGCATGTGGGTTCAGTTCCTGACTGCATCATTCACTAGTTAGCAGACTTGCAATGGTTCTTCATGTCACTACACCTAACTCTCACATTGATGCGATAATGCAGGCAACAATATACAAAACAAATATGCTGCAGAATACTCTTGGGTAGTAGTAGCTATTACTCTTGTTTTTCAAGATATGTCCTTTTATGTTTAATGGGAGTATCCACTTTTGCTTTCTCTGTTAGCAAAGAAAATTAATGCTAAATTAAAAAAAATATAAATTAAGATCAGGTTTAAGGTCCTACAATATATTCTATTTGTTAGATTTTCATTTTTTGTTTATGTTGACTGGTGAGTTAATATATATAAAATATTTGAATAAAGTCAATATATATATTGACTTTATTCATAAAGATGTTGTTTGATTATATAACTGGGGAAAAAGAATACACTTGTAAATAGATATAAATTCAAATTTAATTAATAAAATAATTAATTTTGAGTCAGAATTTCTCTGTTTAGCTCTGGCTGTCCTGGAACTTGCTCTGTATACCAGGCTGGCTTTGAATTCACAGAGATACTCTTTCATCTGACATAAACCCTGGGATTAAAAGCATGCGTCACCACCACCCAGAAATTTTAATTTATTTTTAAGAGATCAAATTTATCTTATTTGATCATTGAATGAAAAAAATATAGGTGCTATGTTGCATTCTCATAATTAACCATATCATAAATTCTTAAAAGGTTTAATCTTGTATCTATATTATTAAAAAGCACCATTTTTTCACAACCTACATGAGATTGAACAAGGCCCCACTGAATGTGGATGTCAGTTGTGTGGCTTGGACAGTTTGTGGGGCCACTAGGAGTGGAATTAGGATTTATCCCTAGTGCATGATCTGGCTCTTTGGAGCCCATTCCCTATGGAGGGATATCTTGTTTAGCCTAGAGTCAGGGTGAGGGGCTTGGTCCTGCCTCAAGTGATATGACAGATTTTGTTGATTCCCCAAGGAAAGCCTCACCTTCTCTGAAGGGGTGAGTAGAAGGTAAGGGGAGTGAGAGAACTGGAGGGAGAGTGAACTGGGATTGGTATGTAAAATAAGATTGTTTTAAAACTAAAAAAAATTTAAATGAAAAAAAAAACATAATATTTTCGTATGACACAGTTTTGAGTCCATGAGAACTGAAACTCTTTCCTATTGTGGGTCAACGATGAGAACATTCTTCACACTATTTTCCTCAGATATGTAAATATAGGCCATCTGATTATAGTTAATCATGGAAGGTTCTTTGTCTCCCGTAAAAATCGTTAGCAATAGGAGGTCTCTGCCTCACCTGTTGAAGTATGAAGGTGTTGGCACGCTTCTGTGCATTGTGGCACTCTCTGGTCTCCTGTGATCTTGTTCGGACTCAAGATTCTTTTTTTCAGGGAGAGGGGAACACGGCAGGAACACTGTGACTGGTTTCTGAAAAGGATGAGTGGATGGATGCTGGACATGAATAAGAGGACTTGTGGACTGTACTGAATAGGAAGAATCTTGATGTGTTTTTAAATACGACACCAGAGAAGGATCGACTGGCTGAATCTAAACAAAAAGGAAGGAAAAAGATGCCCATGGATATACCCTCAAACACAGATATGCACATATACATTCAGAAGATGCAAGTATTAGTATGGTCCTAAAACAATTTTCTATAAATTTAAGGGAATACATTGTTATGTGTTTCTCTGTACATTCTTGCCTAGAAATAAAACTCTTTATGTAAAAGCACACAATTGAGTAAAATCTCTTAAAATGTTGTTTCCTATTCACACATGCAGGCACACGCACACACACACACACATACACACACAAACTCATGCATGGACTCATACATACACTCACACACATGTATACACACTCACAAACACAAAACACACGGGTTTAATTATGCATATATATGTTTGTGTATGTATGTGTTTTAGAAACACACTTAACTATAAACATCATGATCAAGAAAATAAAGATGACATTTCATGTCATTTTTTAATTATCACAATTCTTAGATCATGTGAACAACAAAAGTTGAAGACAAGCTACCATAGCTCAAAGTTTGCAGAAAATATTTTCAAAGGAAATACTGCAGTCAGGCTTTCTTCCCAATCTTTCTCCTTATTTTTTGTGATAGGAACTAGGAGAAATAGAAAAGAGAGAATGGGGAAAACAAAGCTGGAATGAGAAGGAATATCATTGGAGAATATAAATCTTCTGGGATGTATATTGATATAGTATTGCATGTTATGAATATAGTGTTTGTGTACATTAAATCATTGTATCAAAAAATCTGATTTTTATTTAGTTGATAGAACCCAAAATTCTAGGTAATAACCATTTAAACAGACTAGTACCTTCTTTTTAATTTTTTTAAAATGTATTAGATTTTTTTTTAAAAAAATACCAATCCAAGTTCCCATTCCCTCCCCTCCTCTCATTCCCTCCATATCCCTCTCACCCCACCCCATCTAATCCTCAGAGAAGGTAAGGCACATTGCTTTGTGGAAGCTCCAAGGCCCTCCCTACTACATCTAGGCTGAGCAAGGTACACTTCCGAAGAGAACAGGATCCCAAAAAGACAGTACATGCAGTAGGAATAAATCCTGGTGCCACTGGCAGTGTCCCCTCAGTCTGTCCCAGCCATGCAACTGTCAACCACGTTCAGAGACACTAGTTTGGTCCTATGCTTGCTCCTTCCCAGTCCAGCTGGAGTTGGTCAGCTCCTATTAGCTCAGGTAAACTGTTTTAGTGGGTGAAATCATCATGGTCAGCCAGTAGCTTCTTATCTTTCTCTATTAATTCATTTGGAAATCTGGATTTATAGAAGTGCCCCCAAATTTGTCAGTAGTTGTTTTATAGGTATTCATCAAATGTTTGCCAACAAATATAAACTAGTAATACATAAAACTATTTGGAAAAGCCTTGCAAAGAGAAGCAGAGATGTGCTGTCAGATGTGGTAAAGATGTTGACTGTGTCACTCAACTCACCATAGATGAGCCCAAGTACAAGAGAAGATGAGCTTTATGGCTACAGGAGAAACCTACTTCCTCTGCATCTTTAGGACCATGCTTGACCCACTAGACAGGATAGAATTAATTTCCTTTTTTTACTATTTACCTTTAGTTGTACAAGCACTGGTGAGCTGAAAACTCCGGCAGGATAACTGAAGGATACTCGGGCATCCACAGTTGACTTCAGAGTGAGCCCTTTTTTTGTTACCGTGAAAGACTGTTTCTTTAAACACGACACCACTGAAAACATACCCAACTTGTAAATGTTCACGGCAGCACAAGCTCCCTATATGGAGTAAAAAAAAAAAAAAAAAAAAAAAAAAAAACCACTTTCCTCAAGCAAGCAGTTAGCATTATTTTTGGGAAATACATATATAACACATATTCTGTTGGCTGTCAAAACAAACAAAATATGTGTATGCTACCCATAAAATCCCCCATGGTGTGAAGGAATCTCATTCACTGAGTGTGGATGGCCCTCTCCTGAGGCAAAAGATAAGTAGATGTTAAGACTTTCTTAAGCTTGGTCTTTTCAACAGAGAAATGAGAAAGAAATGAATTTGTTTTGTAACAAGTTAAATCTTCATATAATAGGTAGCCATAACAGCTTCACAAATTTTAGTTACTTCTGGAATCTTAGCTATTTTGGCTAGATATTCTTTTCTTTTCTTTCCTTCTTTTTTTTTTTTGGACAGAATAAATTTTATTTGTAGATCTTGTCTAGAACTTCCTATGGTATTTTACAGAATTCTAAGGAAAAGATTTTTATCACTTGAGCATTTTACTCTAACATCAGCAAATGTGTTGTTGGAAAAATTCTTCCTTCTGACAGATCACAGCATCTTCAGATGCCATAATCAATTTATTGTCTCTATTTCTTTCTGCAGTTGAAACAGACAACTGTAGAGTATCACACTGCTCCTTTCTGGTGTTTCTATATTCAAATAAATAATCGTATATCTAGCTATGCACTCATCAGTTTTTATCATGCAAAATGGAACTGAGTCCATTAAAGAAATGAAAGGATCTATGTATATAATGATCTGTGTATACAACGACCAATGCTTTAAACAAGGAGGCAAACTAAGAAGCAATTTTCTCTCTTCAGGCTTCTCACAATACCAGCTAGTCTCCACCCAGCATGAGTGGATAAGAGCGCATGCACACACACAAACATTTCAGAGTTCTTCACAATGGAAAATAATCTATCATTTGAAAGCTGACTAAGGGAAACATTTCCCAATCTCACGGTTGGGAAAATTCCGAGCACAATGATCTGTCTTCAGTGGCCAGAGGGAAAGTAGTGAGAAGAAGAGGTCTCCAGGGAACAAGTGGTGGTTGCTGAGCACTGAGGCAACATTTGGCAGATACTGGGGAAACTAAAAAGGCTTTTGGGAATTAGAGCGTTTAAATGTCATAGGACCCACATAAAACTTTGGAAGGAATCCAGAATTCAAATGTTCCCGAGCTAAAATTAGCAGTAACTCTCATTAGATTACTATGTAAAGAAAAGTACAGTTTTTGGTAGACAATGATCCTCTTAATTTTTCTTGTGTCTTGATTATTCATTTACAAAACATCGTTTGAGCCCATCTGGGAAAGGCTCTTGTACTGTGAGCCGTTTCTAAAGTACTTGTTATAAAGGACACATAGACTCGCCAAGATTAAGAAGCCTACTCTAGAGCAATGCTAATCAGACTCCCATATTCATAGGCGGCTAGTCTAAATCTAATAAGATGAATACGAATAATGAGAACAGATGTGGCTTTCTTATCTAACTATATAACCTAGATTTGATTTGTAAACAAACCATAAGGACAGAATATATTATTTGCATAAAAAAGATTAACACTGTAATTAGTTAAAGGTAAATTCAGTAGCCTACAGAAAACCCTTAACTTGAGTCCTCATCAACTCTCTAATACTAAATGTAGCAATTCTGGGTTCTGTCTCAGCAACATTTTAATTTTTGACATAGATATTCTTAATAATATTACAATAAAATCCATTTCAAATGGTGAAAACCTATTAACAACTCACAGCGGTTTGTTTATTTAATTTTTGCCATATTACCAGGCAGGCATTACTATAATATTTTCAAATAGAAAAATTGGGTCACAGAGAGGTGTCTTGATCCAGCTAAGTTCCGCTGCAGCCAAATGTGGAAACCAGATTTCTTCCTTTACTGCCCACAAATAACTACCAAATATAGATTCTTCAGTGTTTAGACTAATCCCATTTGTAAATTTAATAAATTAATCAAACCATGCACATACACAGTGTTTCCATTTTATATATGTTCTTCCAACCTGTGAATAATAAAAACCAAAACTATAATATCTTAAGATTCTAATGCTTCAGTATAGGCAGTTGTCAAACATGTTACATATGTTTATGAAGTTGATATAAACCATGAAGTTAATTAATTAAACTATGATGTTGGTTGCTTTTTAGAAGACAAAATTAATATTTATTGAGTGAATCCTAGGCCCATTCTCTATTACTATAATTTCTACTGTTTGGACTTCATAGACGGTATTTAGGAAACAAATCATGAATGTTCTAACACAAATGTGTCCACACTTATACAATGGAAGACTCATTATTACACTACAACAGAATATTTTGAATTATAAGAAGAAAAAAAAAAAACAAGTGCAGTTGTCTTTCAGGCCCTACTGACCTTACAACCACCCCTCATTCCTTCCAGTGAATTTGGAGTTAGGTAGCTTGACTGAAAGGTTGTGTCAGACATTTTCACCATTATGTCTCTGTAATTTCCCTTGTAGTTTGCCTTGAATGGAATCGCAATGCATATTGGGAATGGAATTTTCTTTTCCTTATCGGAGCATTCAACAGTGACGACATTGCTGACCAACTCTTCGTTATCACTCACTATAAAGGAACTCATGCCGTTCACTATGTGGCAGTCAACCTGCTGCAGGACATGCGGTGGGGCGGTGATGTAACAAGACACTTGAGGGTCAGCTCCATCACTCAGCACGTCAAGATACCTGCAGGCGAAAAAAAGTGAGCTTCATTTTCAACTATTGTATTCATGCACGTTATAGGCAAATGCACAAGGTCACAATGTTTGAGGCACATTGCTTGATGTGAACTTTAGCCCTCCCATTTTTTTTTTAATCTTTGTACTCAAATACCACAATTTCCTCTAATATGGGGTGAAAATGATAATCTACTTCACAGGAAAGCTTTGTGTTAAATGTGTTATTCTACAGTAATTATAGAGAACTATACCCTCACATTGTAAGGAAGCTATCTATACTGTATTGACTATATTGGCTAAAAAGATAAGCCATAATTGCTATTGACTAATTTTATTATCGGAGTTATTGCTTTATTCCTCACTATTATTTATTCTATAATAAAGTGAAAAATAAGTTATGTTTTTTAAAGAAATAAATGTAACTGTGGAGAGTGATGCCTTTATGGGTAAGTCCTCTAATATTGCACGAATAGATTCTTTTTCTGATGATTTGAAAGTGAAAAACAGATAAGAGAGAAGTCCCAGCAGTCATCCAGTTTTACTGAAAGCAAAAGTACACATACACGTGCACGCACCAGAACCACGGGGGGTGCGGGGGAGGCAGTCAGACAGAGAAAGACAAAAGGAGAGACAGAGAGATAAAGACACACAGAGAGAGGATTAAAAACAGTGCAGAACATATTCAGACTCTATACGATTAAGGGTGGGGTGGATTCGCTTTCTTCCTAAGAACTGGCTAGTTTGGCTTATTGACAGACCCTGAATAACCCAGACAAAGAAGAAAAGCTACCTGCTCCCTTTCACAGGTTCACCCCTGACTCCCCACCTCTCCTGGGAGATCCAAAAATTCTGAACAGTTCCTTTTGTAGGGAAAAAGGTCAGCAAGTCCTTGACTTGGAGAGGAAGAGGAATGAGGAAGTTGCCTATCTTAAATGCTTACATCTAAAGTACACTTATGTACCTAAAATCTCTTATTTATTTGCCTGTCTTCCTGCCTACCAGGGATCTGTATGACTCCTACTGCCTCAAGAATAAGTAATGAAGATGAAGTACAGAAATTTTCCAGGTACACTAGATAAAATAGTGATATTTATTTAATTTTTTGTACATTAGTCCTATTAAATAGGAATAGATTATTTCTAATCCTCAGATTATCATTTGAAAAGTTTATTGTAACTATTTTTTCCCTCAACATCATCTTTGCAAAGATTTTTAGAGTCTTATTAATTTGAATTCAAATTTGAGAGCAGGCATCTCCTATTTGTTTGCCTATAAATATCACAACCACTCAGAATAGTCAGTAGTTTAATGCTTTCTGTTGGTAAGGTTTGAAATACAAAGTTTTATCTTCATTTGTATAGCTTCCGTGTCAATTACTACTATCTTAACTACTTTACAGATAGAAAAACTGAGGCTGAAATTTTTAACTTACTACAAATCTCATAGATGTTCAGTTTTAGAACTAATAGTCGACTCCATGCATTCTTAGTGTGGAAGTAAAAGCTCTCAAATATTGTCATGCCTTTTTCAAATCTTTCCTAAGTACTGACTACTCTATCCACTGCAACTTGACACCAATATCTAATCTACGATCTTGGGAAGTTTGAATGAGATATATTATTTTAAACCTCTTTAATACTAATGGATATTCAATAACGATTTGATCTCTTTGTTAATATCATCAACTTGGAGTTCTCTTCTTGATGATATTTATTTCACATTAGAGAAATAATGAGAACAAAGGCAATGTTGAAGATAGATGCCAGCATCTATGTCATCACAGCATTATTTTTTTCAGTTATACACTAATAAATTTTAGCTGCTTTTTGTTTACTGCTAGTACAACTTGAAGTTTACTATTAAATACAACTTACATTCTCATAAAGAAATGTAATACAACATTTAACTCATAGAGGTTGTTTGCTGATGTAAGCAATTCTGAACTTAGAAAAAGATCTCCAGCATGCTGATCTGCTTAACGTTTTTGGTAGAGATAATGATAATTGAGAAAAAGCATTATTCAGCAGAAGATTCAGTGAACCAGCTTCATATAAGTTCAGAAATGCTCTCTTCTGTGTCATAGAAACAATCTCAGTGTAGCCAGCCTCTATGAGGTGTGGTTCCCGAATAACAGATAAAAATGTAAAGGAGATATGTAAGTAAATAGTCCATAGTCCTAATCAAATGTGACTTGTTTTGTTATTAAATAGATTACACTCATGTGCTTTTCTCCTTTGTTTACACATTAGTATAGCTACCTCCAAAGGATGGGGCTTATGGAAAACTAAAGGTTGAAAAAACACAAACGTTCCCAAGCAAGGTTTTGTTTATCACATACACTTTTGTGTGGTGTGTGATGGCTTAGTAGCCTGGGAACTGCAATGAAGAGTCATCTTCGCAAATATGCAAGCCAAGCACATTTGGTTCAATGCCACAAAGGAAGTCGCTAACCAGGGAACACCTAAAGGAGGTGTTAGAGGGAGTGGTGCAGGCAGTGACTCACTAGCTGGTGTTTTGAGTCATTTCTCAATGGGAGGAAACGAAACATCAATGTTTTTCTCAAAAGAAATGGGCAACCACATATTGACAATTTTAGAGGTTGTTTGTCAGGGGCAATAATTCTTGCAAACCACGCAGGTCTGTATGCATTGAGAGATTCATCTATAGAACTCATTAAATTCTCTTTGCTGTGGATACACTACTTTCTTTTCTTTCCCTTTTTTTTTTTATAACGTCCCATGGTCAGTGTAAGCTAAGTACTCGCTGAAGAACATACAGACGGTGATGTTTTCCTGGGAACGGTGCTGTGCATCTATATAGTGGATCAGCCGCGTGTTATGGATCCAGGGAGAACAGAAACGAGGAGGGATAGGACTGTGAAAGTAGCTCGGCATTACGTCAAATAATATGCTAACATTAAGCTTAGTGTGAAATATGGCTGAGTGACTCGACGCTAGGCCCCTCTGTGATTGTCTCATTTGCTATCAAATGCTCCACGGAAGGAGAAAGTACTCTTATAAGTGAGAAACTGAGACCAAAGAACAAACACACAGATAAAAAGAAAGAAAGGGAAAACACAAGCTGCCCAGTGATGAAAAGCTGACTCATAAGGAGACAGCAAATAAAAATGAATTTTTTTCCTGCTCCCTAAATATCTTCCCACTATAACACATTGCTAAGGAAGATGTTGTATTTATATGGTAAAACATAATTAGAAAATATCAATTTATACAAATCAAGAATAATTGTTGCCTTACAGTTGGGAGGGGGAAGATAGTTCATAAAATACATCAGTCTTGTTCCCCGTTTTATTCCACGGGCTTTTAAAGAATTTAGGAAGAAAAAACAAAAGACTCCTGAAAATTTTCTGAGCTAAATAGGTATGAGCATCACATTTGCCTTTAAGAATCCTGAAAACCCTACCCACAAATCCCCTGGAGCGCTGAAGACAGAGTTTAAAGACTGACGACAATTATATTGAAGATATCCATATTATGTATTTTGTAGTTATGACATATGTATTTATTGGTTACATAATCATGTTAGCAAATTGTCTTTTAATTCTTTTAATATTCTGAAATTCTCTTTTTTCTATTAAAATTGAACTTTGTTTAGAAAAGTGTTCATGTTCTGAACAATTGTTTTGAACTACTATCATAACTAATTTTCTTCACTAGAACACCACTTGATTTGAATGTTTCCTGAAACTATGAAGAACAGAGTAATATTAGCAATAGCAGCTACATACATCTCTGTGGGGTGGTTTTAACCTGACTCACTAGTTTACAGCAACTTTTAGAGACATGACCCAAAATTATGAAACTTCATTGCGTATTCCCTCATATCTAATATGTTGAGATTTTATCCCACAGGGAACTGTGTTAGGACACAGGGCCTTTGAGGGACCTAATTAGGTCATAGCACAATTCTCACGGATGGGATTAGTGTCATTAATAAAGAAAGGGCCTTGAAGATGGTCAGTCCCTTGAAGCTGGTTCACACCATTTGAGAACACAATAAGAAGGCACTGTCTGGGAGTCAGTGATCTGTCAGTTGATACTGAATCTCCAGTGCCTTGTTTGTCTCCCTTCCTCTAGAACTGCAAGACATTAGTTTCTTGCACTCAAAATAAACCAGTGTGTGGTAGTTTGTCATAGCAGCAGGATGAAGGCATTTAGGAACAACAGAAATAAAAGTAGCAATCGGCATATATAAGCCTTTCTCATGGTGCCTTTACTTACTCCTTTTCCATTATGTTATTCTTTTGTTTTAGACTCTCTGACTCATTATGAAGACTCTTCCCGTCCTTACTGGAGACATCCCATGCTGTTGGGGATGTGGTAATCTCTTCTCCTTGGCTTTCTGAGATCTCTCGCGTGTCTCTTGCTGGTGTCTGGATTACATCATGAATGTCTCCCTTGTTGCCATCTATGTTCTCAGCAGTCATGTGTTCTATTTGTTTTTCATCTTCATTTTCTGCATTATCTGGGAACACTGTGCTCTGTGACTCTCCTTGCCCTATTACATTTCCACTCAATGATGCATTGTTTTCGTTTTCCCCTAATTCAGAATATATCTGAGTTTTATTTTCTTTTAACTGGACCTGGTTTGTGTAATGACTTTCCCCTGCATTTGCAGGAGAAACAGTGGCTGTTTCCATGACATTTCGTTCCCTTCTTGGAGCAATGTCTGTTGCTTTGGTGTCTTGAATGGCCGATATTGTCTGCTGTGGAGTACGGTCCTCATGCATGCTGCATAAATTACACATCTCTTTTTCTTCTCTTCGTAGAAGCATGGCAGTGTTCCCCAAATGTTCATTCATTTTCATGAGGAAGTCTATGAAAGCAATAATTTCTGCACATGTACACACAAAGAAAAAGTAAAAACTAAGTCAAATTACTCTTCTGCCCAGGCGAGGGAAATATTTGCACACTTTGCCAGCTTTTAACACTTATATAACTAGAAGGAAGCAATCTCTGCTTTAAACATAGTAGCCAAAATGTGAAACTGACCCTTTATACCCACGAGTATGCTTGAACTTTATTTAAAAAAAAATGAGCATACTCCCAAATAGAATGAAAACAACAACTCCTCAATGATTTGGTATATTTGACAGTTGTTTGTTTGCCTTGGAAATACTATACAACATCAATTTTCCATTTCAAATATCAAACATAAATTTATCTGAACACCCCAAGACAGGTTAACAGCAGCAAAGCAACAGCTGTGTTATTTATGATGACACAGATGCTGTATTTTGGCGAGAAATTCAATCCTCCCCCTACTGAGCATGTGATTATTAAAATATGTCAAATTGTTCATTCAAAGAGTAACTTTGACCATATTATTCTCTGACTGGATCTTGCAGTGGCTAATCAATGACACCCAAACTATGACAAACTGCTTTGCTCTAAGCCGAAGCATCATCAATAGCTGAGTCACTCCACTTGTCACTCCATCTCGAGTTCATCCCAAGCTCTCATCTTTGCAGCTTGCTTCTCAAGCTTCTTTCTGGCTGGACCTTTCCATCCTCTCGTCTCTGAGCTGGGAGTCTGTAACTGATGTCCACACATCTCACTGTCACCAAATCACCTTGCACTAGTCTGAGCTTGCCTCTGCACTGCAGTTCTGACAACTTTGTCTTTGTCTTGCATCTGAGATCCCGTGTTTATTTTGAACTCATCCCTTTTGGTACCTGACTACTTGCCTTGACTTGTCTAGGACTGTGTTCAATCCCTCTAGAGACTGACTGGTCCTGAGCTCCTGCTGCTGATCCTGGGTTCACACAGGTTTGGGACAGATTCTCTGAGGTTCACTGTTTATCCTTTGTATTGTCTGCTTGGGATTCCTGTCTGATGAGGACTGTCTGTTCACTGTGACACTAGATGTCTGAGAGCTGCATTTCATAATGCCACCTAGATATTCTGAAAACATTGCTATTACGATCATATTCTTCTGATGCTGCTTTCTCCATACTTACTGTACTTTTTAGCACACACACACACATCTGGTCATATTCCCAAAAATTTACATCCAGCCTTCAGTGTGTAGGCATCCAGTTTCTTCTAGCTCATCCAGTCTTTCCAGTGTTTTTGTAATTAATAGGACTAGGCTCAAATGACTCTGGAGTTAGAACATGCTATTCCAATTTAGAAAAACTGCCTCTTCTGCTTTAATTAGTCCTGAACTTTCCTACCTCTAAGACTTGAGTCTTGCAAATAACAGACAAAGCCCCTGAATTTCCAGTTGCATGACTCCAGTTCGTCATTGAGGTGTCAGTTTAAATAGCACTATTTCCCAGCAGAGTCTAAATTCCCTTCCTCAAAATGTGATCCAGCTACCAGAGAAAGCTGAAAACACTTCATCTGTGCTCCAAGCAGGAGGAGCATCTGAATCCTGTGAAATATGGCCTTCCCCTACTTTCTCTATAATGGCAGCAGTCTCTTCTCAGCAGATTCTACTTTCATTGAGTTTCTATACATAGCTCCTCTTAAATACTGACCAGATGAGCATTTCAAAAGAAAGTGTATACCCAAGCAAACAAAATAAACTACTTACCTTGTCTCCAGATATGCTGATTATCCTTGCCAAGTAATATGTACAGCTGCTGGCAGGTGGACTGAAGGGTCCCCGCTATGTGTTCCAACAGTTGAAAAAGGGCTTCATTGAGCCCTTGGCCCAAAAAGATCACTGTGGCTACCCAAGTGGCTCCACCAGCCACCTCACAGAGATTATCACCCAGGAGCGCCTGCTTTAACATTTGGTTTTGTCTCCAAATCTGCTTCAATATTTGCCCTAATTTACCTAAGCCCATGTCTTCTGTATCCATTTCTAAGCTCCAAAAATAATATATTTGTCTCCTGCCAAGAAAACCTAAAGGTTTAGCACATTCGAACTTGGCAACGGTTATTTCTCCTAAAATCTCGGAGATGATCCAAGTCAGCTAGCCTCTTCTGCAACCTAAGAATTTATTTGTCTTGTTGTTGACGAATGAGAAGTTCCTAGGTGACCAGAAGAGGGGCGTTCCTGAGCCCAAGTGCTATTGTGTACACAATAGATTAATCACCGGGATAGAGTTAGCTCCCATAATCATATGTCCATGTAAAATTTACAAATTAAATATGCTATAGAAACCCCACATGCTCTTTCATTTTTGCAGTAGCAAAATATATATCCCAGGTTGAAGATCAACTTTACAATGAAAGTAAACTATTATTTTTTCTTTTCTATTTTATTACAATACTGATAATAAAATTTATGTGTATATTTTTATAAATACTTTTTAATTAAAAATATGTTTGCTTTAAATTTATTTTGATATATAGAAATAAGATCTAGATACATAAGATTAGTTTTAAAATTATAATTTATTGGAACTGGATGTAGCTACACGTGGGGTCTTTTTAACTTGCAGACATGTGCAAATATTTAAAATTAAAATAAAGAGTCAAAAGAGGTCCAGCATGGTGACTTATGATTCTAATCACAGTATTTTGGAGTTATGGGCAGGATGATTGCTTCAAGTTCAAGACCAGTCAGAGTTCCATAGTGAGACATAGTCACAAACAATCACAGTGAGAGTTAAAAGAAAAAGCTTTCCTCTGCTGGAGCGTAGCCTAAGTACCATGGTTTAGTAAGTATAATTACTACTTTCTTATAGGTAAGCGTACATCAAGATTGTGATAGGAGCTTGGTCTCCGCTCTTCCCTTTGATAATTTCTCTCTAATTGTGTCAAGTGCTTCTTTACAAAGAGAAAGCATCCTTGAAGATTGGCTTCCTCTGAGCTGCCAAGGAGTGTTTACTACCACTATAATTAAAATTCGGATGTAGCATGTTCTCACCGTGAGCCTGTCCAGTTGGCACATTATCCATGGGATCTTTGCACTGCAAAGCATGATACAGGGGAGGCTGAGGTGTACTGCGAACTGACTGCCTCCTCTCCTCCAACACTCCCTTTTCTAAGATAAGAGAACACACAACCAAGGGAGAAGGGTCTGTGAGTTTAAAAACAACACATGTTCCCTAGAGGCCCTGGATGGAAAGAAAACCTTTCCGAAGGGGCCTAGAATGTTTTCCTCCCACCAGCAGTATCATTTCACCCCAAGTGTAGAAAGGATGACTTCTACAAATGAGTAGGGCATCACTCAGGATATGTGAACCACTGGGGAAAACAGTCCCAGGGAATGAAGAGCGAAGAATGAAGGCTCAGACCTGTAGCCTGCACAAACTGCCATGGTTCATAGATTCCAAAGGGCAAGGAAAAAAAAAAAAAACACAAAAGAGCTGGGGCTCCAGAATGCATCTCCCTTTAAGATAAGTAATAATTGCTGAGAGAGGGAGAAATTGTCACCCTCATTAGCTATCCAATACCAAAGTGTCAACACTGAAATCATATACATATAAGCAACACTAAATGGATTCGAGAAGTTGCATCTATACACTTCGGTGTTTGTATGTGCGCATAGACCCCCCCCCACACACACACCTGTACACACAGGAAAGACAACAATAATTGAGGAAGATGGAGCTGCAAATTTGGGAGGGAGAGAGGGCACATGTGGTAAAAGACTTGGAGAAAAGAGAGCCAAGAAATGATGCAATCTTATTTTCATTTTTAAAAATTACAAATTAAGTCTTATTTTCCAGTGAAACTGTCTTTTTTTTTTTGAAATTTTAAACCACATCATAGCAAAGATTACATTAAAGTGTTGCGCACTATTTTCAGATTTTAAGGCATGCTGGTTTGTATCTTACCCTGCTCTTTTGGCTCAGTTCTAAAATGCATATATAATCTCACAGATCATATACAAATGGCTTTTATTCAAGACCAAATCTGAAAATCTTTCTTCAGTATGTACTGCGAGCCCTGATTTCAGGCCATTCATGAGAGGCAGATGCATGAATAAACAATTACAATACAGACTGTTGAAAGCTAGATACAAAACATTAAAGCTTAACTGATGGTGGTATTCAGATTAGGAACCTAAGGATTAGCAGACTATAAAACACAAGGAAAGGCAGTTTTTGATTAGAAACTACCTTATCGAAAGAATGGGTATGAGAAATTACAGAGTGGGATAGGAGTAGACAGGTATGGCTTTAAGGGAAAGTTTAGTCAAGAGGGATGGGAAACCTTGCATCCAGAATTGTGGAGAGACTAGTGAAATCAGAATTTGGTTTTGTGAATAGAAGGGAGAGGTTACATATTCTGAACCAAGTAACAAAAATGATCAATCGGTGCTGCACGTCACAGATGGCCCTGATGTCATAGATTTAATTGTTGGGAGGCTTCAGGGTCTACATTAAAGGCAAGCAACAAAAGCAGATGTCTTGAAAGCAGATTGGATTTGAAGTAGAGTACATAGAGTTTACTAAACCATCAGATGGACTGAAAGAAATTGAAAGAGCTGGCTATATACCTCTTTATTAACCGGTAACTGATTAAAAAAAAAAAAACTATTGTTGGCAATGGAATAGAACTAAACCATTTTACTTAGGTCACTTCCTAGCTGGTAAATGTATTAAGAAATATAAGAGGGACGTTAGGTTTGGTGGAATGGAATTTGATTGATTTTATGTTAGTAGCTTTCAAGTTAGTTCAGGAAAATCATCGAGACTGTGTTGGAAATATATCAAATATGGCAGAAGAGTATTGGCAAATGTTTGAGCATTTTTTTTTTGTAAATCTGTAGTGAATGAATCCTGAGTATAGAAGGCATTGAAGAAGACCTTATACATATATAATTTAAATATTGAACAAAACAATATTAAATACAAGATCATAGGTCTATGCGTATTTCCTCATAGATGTGTGAAAACCTTCTCTGTTATGATAAGAACACTTGAAACCTTCTTTCCTAGTTCCAGCACCACTTGCTCATTTCAGGTCTACACTTGTTTTCTGTCTAGTTTCTAAAGAATAGGAAATGTTTGCAAAATAAAATCTACCAGAGCTCATGCTGCATGCACTTGATAAAGCAGGCATCCACATGCTTATGCATTTTGTTGTCAATTAATTGATGTCGCTGACCACAAAAACCCGGACATTTACAGTAGAGACGCCCAAATAAATCAACTGCAAAAGTTCACCTGAATAGTTTTCACACTTCTTTAGATGCATCATTGCTGAGGTTTATTAAGACTGTTTCTTATTTCCTACTAAGCATCCTTTATTTCGCTAACCTGAAACAAATTAACTCATGGTCTTGAATTCATATAAAATATAAGGTGAAAAAGATGAGAGTACATGAAAGTACTCAATCATATATAAAATCAGGAAGTAGGATAGTTACTAGTAGTTTCTGTAGAGAAATAAAACTATAATAGTAGGATAAATTCAAAACAAAGGATGAAAAGAGTAAAGTGTTTATTGATGGCTAGTCGTGCATAGTTCAGATGTCAGCCCAAGAACTTTAAATATAAACTAAATGTAAATATTATCGATGTGCTTATTAGTTTTAAATTAGTTTTAAAATGTTAAAAAGATAACCATATGGAGGAGGGAAGGACTTGATGGAGGGTGGTGAGGAAGGAGCTTGAGTGAGAACTAAGAGTAATGGTGTATGTTTATGAAGACATGAAGATGCCCCGATAAATCTCATTATTATGCATATTAAAATAAATAAATAATATAAAGTAAGTAAATAAATCAAATAGTAACAGTCAAAGTCAACACCTTTGGTTTTTAGAGACAGATTTGATGCTCCTCTTTTTTGTTTTACTCTGCTTCTTCCTTGAAGCCCCAGAAAAGGAGAAAGAACAATATATAAATTCCACTAGGAAAAGAAAATGAACTATAGAAGAAAGAGGTCAACAAAGGCCAAGACATGTGAAAGTAGTGAACTATGTGACAGTGAAGGAGAATTGAAACTCAAGAACATGAATGGTGAAACACGGGCTGGCATTCACCAGAGATGCTCACCAAGTCCCAGCACAGACAGTAGGTAGTTTTTGTTGTCACTGCTTGAAGCAGGCAGATTCCTAGGACCAGACCCCACCATCTGTTTCACATAGTCAGGACACCACCTTTTCTCTACTCACCGAAACTTGTGATTCTTTCTATAAAGAACATCAGTAGAAAAGCTGAAGACCTTGTTTTAGCACCAACTTGGTGAGAGATTCCATGCCAACCACAGAGCTAAGTGAAAACCTGAAGGCTTTACTTTTTCTTCCTTCCTTCCTTCCTTCCTTCCTTCCTTCCTTCCTTCCTTCCTTCCTTCCTTCTCATTTCTCTCTTTTTTCTCTTTCTTTCTTTCTTTCTTTATTAAAAACACATGCTTTTTCACAAAACAGATTCTGATTATGGTTTCCTCTCCTCCAACTCCTCCAAGATCCTTTCCTCCATCCTGATCCACACCCTCTTCTTTCTTTCATTAGAAAATGAACTGTCAATTAAAGAAATATTAAATAACGAGAATCTGTTCTGTTGTTCTGCTCACCTCTAAGAGTGTAGATGGATGATTACAACCTCCTAGACAGAATGCAGAGGCTTGGCCATAGCATCTCTGCACTGTAAGAGATAAACAACTGTGATTGAATCATTCAATGCCCCTCTCCAACTTCAAGCCCTTCAGAACCTGCGCAGCCTGTACAAGATTGTTCAACCAACAATGAGTCTCTTAGTCTCAGGTCCTACCTGTGAATGTCAAGCTTGCAAATAGTCCATTTCATGCCTCGCTTTTAAATACGGGGAAATAGCCAAGAGGTGAGACATCTACAAAAGTCTCTAGTTTAAAGCTAACGACTAAAGTAAGGAAGCCCAAATAAAGCATTTGAAAGAAATAGAGCCAACACAATGAAAAGAAGAAAATACCAACCAGGTATTTAATTTTATAAATTTATAATTTTATAAATGCCAGGTACTTAAATTTATCAGACTCTAGGAAAATGTACACCATCTCCCATCAAACCAAAAATTATTTTCTTTGCAAAA